ATAATGCTGCAACTGATCACTTGATACACATGTATTTTTGTGTTATTAGAAGCATACTTCGGGGGGGTTCTTGGAAACGTGATTGCTGGGTCAAAAGGTAAGTTCCTATGTAATTTTGTTAGATATCATTGAAATTAGCAAGGAACAATCCTGGTTCTCTTAAGTAGTCTAATGTTAAATACAAAAAATTAAGCTTTTCCTAAAAGGGTTTGCAGAAAGGAAGCTCAAGAGGAGGAAAGAACCGCCTGGTTTCACCATGCAGGAAAGGACACTTGTACATTATGCACCTTTCTCTTTTCTCTTCTTACAACAAGATAATTCTACAGTCAGAGATAGTAGCCTTGTCAGCACACAAATGCACCTCATGCTCCTAAAGGCAGGATTTGTATTTTCACTGGCTGGCATGATGTCTAGCAGAAGCTGGTCCTGTGAGAGTGCTTATATGCGACTCATTTTTGTGTTTTTAATTTAATCCAATTATGAACCTGTGTGAAAAATGGGATGAGAGAAAACATGAGTCAGCCCCAATCTATCAGGGTATGTAGGGGGTGGTAAGGAGCAAAGAGAGAAGGTGTACTTACGCCTCAATATACTTCAATTTTCATGTCACAGAAATATTAAAATATATCAGACTGTGCTCTGAGATGCCACTTTAACAGTGGAGCTGAGTGTCCACATCTCTCACGTACCATTCCTCTGTTATTGGGATTTAGTCTAAAATTCTACTAAAGGACTTCCATAATTTCATCTTCACCGAGAATCACATCCCCATCCCAGAAGGGCATTCAAGGTCAAGAACCCGGAGGCACCTTACAAGACGCAGGAATGATATTGCCACCAGCGAGACCATCATCAAGAACGTTTACTGTACTCATCCTTTATCACACTGTCCTCTTAAGGGGCATCCAATGTGCTTGTCAGCAGCCGAGTGCTCAGTCCCACCCCTGGAACAGAATGATGCTACAGGGGAGTCAACAGGAAGTGGAAGGCATCCATGTGTTTCTGCCTCTGTCCTCATTGCCATTTAAGGTGCAGTGGTATCCTAGTCTGAATCTCCTTGAAGCAGTAAGAGAAAAAAAGCGAGAGGTGGTGTTGCAGACGGGTGGCCTGGAGGTGGCCATTCACACCTCTGCTCTCCAAGTTCCTGAGTTAGTTAGCTAAGGACGCAGAAACGCACACAGATACAGAGAGCTTGCACACAGGATACAGATGCAGCATGCCACAGTCCAGAGAGAACGCAGCCAGGACTCGGGGGTCCCTGCATGGTCTGTGTCTTGAGCATTCTGGAGTGCTGTGAAACACATACCTCCACGGGAAAAGTACTGAGTCTTTTTTTTTTAACTCCATAAAAACAATTTATATGAAAAAGATGGGCTAAACGTCTGAATAAAAATATATGTTCACTTGTCCATTTCACAAATATTTACTAGGTGCCTGCCAGATGCCAGACACTTTTCTGGGCATTGATATAAAGCAATTTAACGAAATGGTCATGGAACGCATCCTCTTGAAATTTACAATCATGAGAAAGGGTGGAAGTCTCTCCAGGCTCTTTCTATTTGTTCATCCGATAAGTATTTATTGAACTGGGTACTGTTGGTGGCACTTTGTTTTCACCAGTGAACAAAACAGACAGCTCCCTGCCCTCAGGAAACGTCCAGTGTAGGAGAGATAGACACACAATAAACACAATAAATGTGGGAATCATACGGTCCATTCAAGGAGATAAGTGGTGTGGATAAAAAGCAGGAGTGGAGGGGCCAGCCCCGTGGCCGAGTGGTTGGGTTCGCGTGCTCTGCTTCGGCTGCCTGGGGTTTCACTGGTTCGGATCCTGGGGGCAGACATAGCACCACTCATCAGGCCATACTGAGGCGGCGTCCCACACAGCACAGCCAGAAGGACCTACAACTAGAATACACAACTATGTCCTGTGGGGCTTTGGGGAGAAGAAGAAGGAAACAAAGAGAGACAGAGAGAGAAGATTGGTAACGGATGTTAGCTCAGGTGCTAATCTTTAGAAAAACAAAAGCAGAAGTGGAGCAGGGAGGGGATCAGGAGTGCCGTGGAGGGAGGTGTGCAATTTTGAGTAGGGTGACCAGCTCGTTGAGAAGATATTTGAGTAAAGACTTGAAAGAGGTGAGGGAGACAGCCCCTCACATACCTGGAGGAAGAGCACTCCAGGCAGGAAGACGAGCTGTTCCTCAGGCTTCAAGATGGGACCACGCCTGACGTGTTTGGGGAAGGGAAGGAGACCAATGCGGCTAGAGAAGGGTCCATACGCCAGGTAAGAGTAACAGGACAGGAGCCCAGAGAGGAAATGGGAGCAAGTCGTGAAAGACCTTGCTGACCACTGAAGCACTTGGCTCTTACTCAGGGAGACAGGGAGCTCCTGAGGGGTTTTGAGCAGAAGAGTGGCAGGACTCTCCTGACTTAGCTTTTAAGGAGCTCATTCTGCCTGCTCATCAGAACAGGCTGAGGAAGCAAGTGGAGAAACAGGGAGACCCGCTGGAGGACGACGTGGTGGCTCCGCGAGGTGGGAGTAGCAGAGACAGGGATGCAGGGTGACGGATTCTGAGTATATTCTGAAGGTGGAGCCAACAGGATTTGCTGAAAGATTGGACTGTGGTGTGAGAGAAAGAGAGGAGCCGAGGATGACTCCAGGGTTTTTAGACGTTTGGAAGGAAGGAATTTTCATCGACTGAGATGAAAGGTTGCAGGTGGAGCATGTTTTAGAGGAAAGATCAGGAGCTCAGCTTTGGGCTTGTTGGGCTTGAGAAGTCAGTGAGAATGTCAAGGATAAGTCTGGAGTCGGTTAAAGATCTGGGCTGAGGGATAAGTTTGGAAGGGGCATCAAGTGAGATTTTTTATTGCATGTGACTAAATATGAAAACATGGATGTTATTTCAAAAATACAAAATTCTGTGGAGCAAAAACTGAAGTTTCTCTCACTCTCTTACTCACCACCTTCCCCAGCAGTAACCACAACTAACGAGCTATTATGTGTTAAGAAATTAAAAAGATGTCTTCCGAATGCTCAATGCACCATATTAAAGAAGCAGAACCAAGAATCGTTTTTCATTTTCCCATGCACTTTACCACATAAGAGGTTTTAGAGTTCTCCAAGCATTTATGCATCGAATTTTTCCTATTTACCTATATCTTCCCTTCACCCACCCAGTAACATAATTTCCACAATGGCCGCCTTTGACCTTTATGGTGGTGAAGTAACAGAATTTCACAGCTGTTTGGAATAAACAATATACTTGGATTTGCATGACTTTTCTAGTGAAATTAAACTGATTTTTAATGGGTTCTATATTGCAATTTCTTTTCTTTAGCGACCTGGAATGTACCTGAGCTAAGTGGTATCATCCATTTAAGAAACATCATTGATTATAAAGTACAGGATACACTTTAAGCACCATAGCAATAATTCTCTAGACTCCAAGCTTTCATCCCTAAAATAGAACACAGTTTCTGTACCTTCCATTAGGAAAAGATGCCCTTCCGAATTTGGACCAATGCCTTTCTGTTCTGTTGAGTCGGCAGCTGCTTTAGGTGAGGAAAGTAATGATGACTCTTCCAGTATCCGGTTCTGGATAATCTACTCGGTTAGACTCTGTTCTTTGTGTGTTGTTTTACTTTTTATATTTTAATAAGCATATGCTACTTTTAGAATCTGGAGAAAATATGTCTATTTTAAACAATGAACTTTAAAATTGTCTTCAAAAAGTCACATGAAGGGTTAACTTTGCAGTTTGGGGTTTCTTGGCTATTTTGGAGTGAGCTGTAATGGGTAGCGGTCGTCCTCTCTAACGAGCTCATTTCTGAAGGGCATATTTCCCTACCGATAGACAGAGCCACCAGACTCGGGGCTCGGCAGTGGGAGTTTGTTCACTCAATCTAATCATTACCGACTAATTACATTTAGAATATTATCTCAACCATTAATTAGTCATTCCCTCAAAACAGCCCGATGGGAGAGATGAACATAATCACTGTGTAATAATGAGACCAGCCCGCAGAGTCCAGTGGAGGTGGGAGATCCCTGGTCATGCGGTCATGACTGCTGGGAATCGTGCCACCCTTTAGGGCACTGCACATCCAATAGGACGCATGAGAGTGAAAATTTAAAAAAAAACAAAAACCTCCAACGTTTCTATTTCATAAGCACTTGAGTTAGGATTTTCTCAAATTCTACGACGTTCATCAATCTTGCAAACCTTTATAAAGGCAGCATCAAATCTATCCAACCGCTTTTCATGCCACCCCAAATATAAAATATGCAGCATTGTGTACATGTTTTTAAAATGCTCACAGATTCCCCCAAGTGTACTAACAAGCATCACAGTGACGATGAGGTGATAATCGAACAACAAATGCACATTGAACATCTATCACGCACAGGCTCCGTGCCAGAAGGATGAACAGGGATGGGGGCAGGAAGTTAGACACCTGCAACTCTGTCTTTGCTCTAAGGGACTCGGAGTTTGACAAAGAAACCAGTCTTATGCATACGAAACTTAAGAATACTGTAGAAAACTTGTATATATATTTCCGGAATAAGCTTATTTCCTATATCTTTCTCCTTAAAAAATATATGTTTTTTATAGTCATTTTACTCAAGCTTAAGGTGCAATGCTTGGTGCACACATTACTTTAGAAGGTTAGAAAGGTCCTAGGAATTGGCCCTGAAATTATGTCGTTATTTAAAGAATACTGTTGAACTGTCTCTTTCAAGAAGGAACATATGGAGGCATAATCAACCTAAGAGAAGACATTTTGAATAATGTCTAGCTGACCACGGAAGGAAAATAAACGAGCAAACCATGTGTTAGCATTCCCCGCTACGCTGAGCCATCACACGTGATAGCTGTCTGCGCTCTCCTGACACACACACACGTGTGCACTCACAGACATACCTGCTCATGGATTTAATGGAAGCGCCTTCGCAATGCCTCTCAAATGAATGAGAATCCTGTTTATATTCTTGTCTGCCCCAGTTTTTGGCTTCACAAGAATTTACTCTTCGTTTTAGGCACACACAGAGTGTCCTAATCCCCTTTTTTGGCTGGTGGAGCCTTGTCAGAACTCTTTAGGAGGGAAATGCGTCGTTCTTCCTTGATCCCAGGGCAGAGTCAAAATGAAAATCAGACTTAAACGGCCCAACCTCCTTCACGTCGCCTCCGACTCCTCATTCAAAGGGGTACTTTGGCGGCAGGTGGAGTTATAATTATAGACTAGAAATAAGCAACATCAGCAGCTGTTGCTTCTGTTTGTTGCTGGCTGTCACTGTCATCAGGGGGCAAATTGGCATAAACAGACCTCCACCCGGGGGAAAAACATTTACCCCTGTGCTCGTCACACTCTGGGTCCCCTCGGTGGCCAGAGAACAGGAAGAAAATCCCTGCAAGAGCAAAGGGTGAACCCGAGACTGCCACCTGATCTGCCGGCACCTCTGTGGGGAGCCTCAAGACTCTCCTTCCTGCGGGGACTCCAGACCAGACAAACAGGTCAGTGCACAGAGTGTGCCTATGCGCTGAATTCTGACCTCCGCTCCATCTGATCGGGGGTTTTTTAACAGATGAAAAAGAAGGGTGAACTGTTAAAGGAAGTTATCTGAGGGCTGCTACTTAGAGCAGTGCCCATGTGAACAGATTATGAAATGGGCTCAATTCATGCTGCTCCTCTCCCAATTTTGGCTGTATTCACACTAGATAAACAGACAAGGTTAAGATGCAAAAGTGAAACTGCTTTTGTGGCATGAGTCCCATGCCTTCATAATGCCACTTACTCGTGCCAAAAAGCCCTGGTTTCTTTATTAAAATCAGTAACGTTGAAGGCTTAAGTTTGTGATTACAAAAGAATACTGTGAATGTAGCCCCAGAATTTCATTTCCCTGGTGAAATTAGGCAAATTAGAGTTGAGTTGTTTTCCCAGCTCTGAATAAAGACAGAAGAATTTCTTGTTTATAGTGAAATGTGTGCTGTAGGCTACTGTGTGTAAGGAATCGGCTGTAGGATTTATTTCTTCCGTCTAGTTCAGTTCTACTTAAAAGCTCCGTTATTTCAGTCTAAGTGTCTCTGTAAGACTCTCCTCGTAGATTCTTTTGAGAAAACCACAAGGTTTCAAAAAAGCCTCATTTTATCTGTGCATGCTTCACGTCGGAGAGCAGCTGAGCAGGATTTTCACAGGTTAGCTTTGGGCCATCTTCCCAAAACCTGAATGTTTAATGTCTTGGTGAAAAGCAGTGGAATTCCAGAGAAGTCACTGAAAACTAGGCGTTGTGGCCCAGTTCTCATCTTCCACACATTCGTGGAACAGATCCAAGTGGAAAGAGTCCTAAAGAATGGCCTGGTTTTGTTCAGCTTAAACAGAAAGTGAACCATCCGTAGGCAAGCCCTCCTCAAGGGTCAGGGCAGCCAACCTTGTCTCCCTTTGAAGTGTTGACGATGCACTCAGAGCTCCTCCAGAAAGAACCCATGTCCCCTGAAACCACCAAGAGAAACCCATCCGTCCAATTCCCACGGGGGCTTGCTTCGTCCCCACAATGTCCCAGGATCTCTAAGAGGAGAGCCGGACGTCTCCTTAGGAAATTTGAGGAGGAAATAAATACCTCTTTACGTGCTTCAGTGAATAAAGTTCCAAACAATAAGTTTGGCCACCCCTTTTGAAAATGTCAATTAATATATCAATATCTTAAGGAAGTAGTTCATTTATTCATTCAAATATTTATTGAGCAATGGCTATATAATATGAAAATAATATTTAGAAATTAAGGCAAGCTAAAGATTTCTAACACGACTCTTTTCAGAGACGCTCTCCTCCTCTTTTCCATCAGGATTTATCAGTCAGATGGAGGGCATCTCCAAATTCCAAAATGCACAATCAGGGAAAGGCAGAAAGGGGAGAGAGCTGACTGGTGCTGGCTTGGGTTTCCTTTGAGATACAGATTTGTGCTCAGTTTTAAACACTGCTTTTTACTTGTGTTTTGTCTTCTTGCTCTTCTAGAAAAAACTACCCACGATGACTGTCACTTACTCCAGTAAAGTAGCAAATGCGACTTTTTTTGGATTTCATAGGTTGCTCTGCAAGTGGAGAGGCAGCATCTACAAACTGCTGTACAGGGAATTCCTTGTTTTTGCTGGGTTTTACACAGCAATAAGTCTGGTGTACAGGTACTTTCCTTTGCACGTCTCCCTAAACGGTCATCAAATACCATGTGGGAATACAGTCTCAGAAACCTGAGCCCTCGGTGGCCATGACTCCTGCATTGTGTCCTTTCATGATCCTCTCTGGTACCTTCTTCCCTTGGGACGGGGCGTTTCATCCACACCTAACCTTTTTCGGAACGTTACATAGACTCTCATCGTGTCAGGCGGTCCTCTTTCCAGCCCCACATTGATTGATCGCAGTGAAGTGTTAGTCGTCCTTCAAGAACATTGGTGTAGGCATACAACGGGAGATTTATATGTTGATCCTCACTAATGTGATGATTCAGAACGGCCAAGTCCACAGACGAATAGTTACTCGGTCTCTCTCAGCTGTGTCGTTCACAGCTTCAATCTGTGACTCAACAGCTTGTAGCAACTACCCACATAATTAACATGTTTGTGAAGGTGTAGATCAGGCGAGTACACCTGGTATCGAAGCATTCCTTCTTTTTGCCTAGAATGACGAGACCTTGTCCAGGATGTGCCCGCTAACCTTACAAACACCTCAGCTAAAGAAAAGACCTGAGAGCTAATTTGTTTTCTTTATATCTTCTGAGTTTGAGGCATGTTATATTCACAAAAGGAGATTATTCTTTATAACATCACAAGCTATGCCAATCAGATTGACAGGAAATTTGAGCACTGTCATGTCCAAGAAATACTTTCATAACTAAAAATGATCACCTTAATGAAATTTTATCAGTATTATTAAAGGGAAACCTTGTGAGTTTTGTTTAATTAAAATTGATTGCATACATTTCTTCTCTGGGGGAAGCTAAAACTTAGCATAGAAAAGCTAAAGGTTTTTGAGGCTGTATTTCCACCTTTTCTATGTAAAGCAGTTTGTTAGTTTTCTTCTCTCTACAGATGAACAATTTTGTGTATCATTACTGTCAACTACATTCTTCTTTTCAGCAATGGGACCCATCTGAAGAAGAGGGGTGTTCAGCTGGCTGGCTGATAATTACCTAAAGTAAACTAGGAAGAGCTATTGTGCCACACATCAAAACTACCGTTCCAAACAAACGTATCTATCGGTATACATTCTGGAAAAATACCTAAAGGGAAAGTTTTATTTGAAAACTCTAGTAATTTTTCAGATGTGTCTTATATAATATGATATTATCTTGACTCTTCATGTGTCACCTAATCCTTCAGCATATGCAACAGTGGAAGACACACGACGTTTCAGGATAATTGTCTCATTAGTTTATTTTTACTAATGTGAATTTGTCGCTGCCACTGCTGCTTAGAATAGAATGGCCCTTAGAACAGTTGCAGTGTAGCCAGAAATGCTCCATGGGGCCTTAAGTTTTGCTCCAATATCTTATTTATACCCCACAAAATTGTATGCGTATATTTTTTCTAAAGACGAAAGAGTGCTTACATTTATAGCAATAATTATTTGTTCAAGTCATCCTTCATTTTTTAAGTGTTCAATTGTAAAAGTGTCTTAAAATAGATCCTCATATCTGGATCGAAGGTATACCGAGAACTATAGGCTGAATTTGTCAAGAAATTCAAACACACCTGTAGGAAAGTGTAGACATAATTTCATTCTCATTTCTACTAATGACCCTAAGTTTTTTCAATCCTTTTATAAGCAAATAATTCTACTTGGCAAAAGTCATATGACAAAACCAGAATTCATTAATTATACCTCTTTCTATTTTTGGGGGGACTTGACAAAATTATCACTATAGCACTTTCCAGCTAGTAAAATTCCTATGTGTCTATTAACTAAATACTTTTCCTTCGGCCAGTTATGAACAGTAACTACTCTATTACTAACGACGCCGTATGTTAAGCGGTTTATAGATATTACATTCTTTAATTCTCATAGCATCCCAACACACAGGTATTATTATCCTCATGTACAGATAAGAATCAGAGAGATCTAAAGTATCTGTAAGAGGCAGATCCAGGACGCAAACCTGGTTCGTCTGAAGCTGTGCTCCATGCTGTCCACATTTAACCCTTCTTTGACGACTTCTGTTGGAGTGTCAGGAAGTGTCTGGCTGTCAGTTGTCACCAGCGTGACCTTGACAGGCCTCTGCAGCCATAGTTGCCTCTCCTGTCAGCTCTTCCTGACTCTGGAATTCCTGACACTTCCTGCAAAGCCAAGCCTCCCGCACACCTTCTCCGTCCACAGCAGCTCCCAGCTGCTCTTCCCTGCCCTGATTGCTGGCTCGCTGTTACCCCACTATCTCTCTGCTTCCTTTATCAAGCTCCACTGACCCAGAGACGCCTTCGACTCGTGTTATAACGTGTTATCGTGGGTCTTTCCTAGGAATTCTTCCTCCCTTGAAACAGCTGCACACACTCATCTGTGCGAGTTCATCCATGTTGCTTCTCTGTCTGGATTTTGATCACTATTATCACCCGCCTTGAGACATTTCTTCTGACTCTGAGTCCCCCTCACCACAACACAAACATCAAGAATACTTCCATTATCCTGGGCGCAGACATGGTGCCTCTCGTCAGGCCACGCTGAGGCGGCGTCCCACACAGCACAACCAGAGGCACTCACGACCAGAATACACAACTATGCACTGGGGGGCTCTGGGGAGAAGAAGAAGAAGAAAAAAAAAAACAGAATAGTTCCCTTAAATGAATTTATGTTTAACACACCAGAAAATGAGTTTGGGTTAGATTTATAATATACATTTAAATTTATACATTGATAAATATAAATATAAACCCACCAAATATAATAATAAAAATTTTCACTTCTGTTAAGTCTTTTATTTTATATTTTGAATAATTGTAGGCTTTAAAAGAAACAGTTGTAATCTCCCTTGAAGAACAACATGTATAATTAAGAATGTGCTAAGCAGCATATTCAAGAGAAAGTAAGATTAAGATATCAAATTCAGGGTTATTATTAAATAATTACTTAATAACTCTAATCCTCCTAAACTAGACTGTTTTTTTAAAGTGTACCTGATGAATAATTGAAAAATGAACTCTCAACAAGGTATCCTGCTCCAAATCCAATGCAATAGTCATATAAATGTTTAAAAATAAAGGTATTTTAACATAAAATGGTTAATAAACTCCACTACTTAATGGCCAATAACATTTATGTACTAAAAACTTTAGTACTTGAAACATTTAGCAATTTAAATCTTTGAGATACATCAACTTAGACGGAAAGAAAACGGTATTGCTCCTTTAAAAAAAATTAAGATATTTGTGCTTAACTGTTTGCACTGAATGTCACTTTCAAAGCAGGTGCAGAAGTATCAATAAAATCATAAAGGGCTGTGCATTTTATTTTTGCTCCAGATTGTTACTTACAGGAGCCCAAAAACGTTACTTTGAAAAATTATCAATTTACTGTGACAGATATGCTGAGCAAATTCCAGTAACCTTTGTGCTTGGTAAGTACAGCTCACACGCAGAATGCAGCCACACAGCTGTCTCCCCTGGGGTGACGCCGATGACTCTGCATGGGAGTGTTTCCAGGCTGAGAGGCATGTCTGACACACCACCGCTTGCAAAGAACCAGAATTTTCCGTAAGGCTTGACTTCAGGCCTGCTTTTGCCTAATTAACCCCAAACCAGTTTGAGGTAATAATCTGCTCTTGGACAATTAAGCTTTCTTTTCACTAACTCCATTTTTGCCGTCAATATTTGAGTTCTAATACCCACTTACTGGATGCTATGGCCTTGCCAGGCACAAGTTACATTTTTTCTGGAGGGCAAAATCATAAGGTATGGATAACAACATATTTTTACACCCCAAACTCTAAAAAGGCTGAAATTCTGCTAAAAGCATCAGTGCCAGCAACGTGTCTGCTGTAAGAAATGGCTTTACAGTGTCTGTTATCCCACAGGGTTTTATGTCACTCTGGTAGTGAACCGGTGGTGGAACCAGTTTGTGAACCTGCCCTGGCCCGACAGGCTGATGCTCCTCATCTCCAGCAGCGTCCACGGGAGGGACGAGCACGGGCGTCTGCTCAGGAGGACGCTGATGCGCTATGTCAACCTCACATCCCTGCTCATCTTCCGCTCCGTGAGCACGGCTGTGTACAAACGGTTCCCGACGATGGACCACGTGGTTGAAGCAGGTACGGTGAGTGGCTTTTCCTTCCAAGCATCCTCTGAACCTAGAGGAGAACCTCCAAAATTCCTTTATTCATTCATTCCGTGAAGAAGACATTGATTACCTACTGTGTGCCAGAAACAGTCTTAAGAGGCAAAGATGAATAAGATGGGGTTCCTGCCCTCAAGACGTTTCCTTGGGGGGGGGGGCAAAGGAGGAGAAGTGGCAGAGTGACCCTCAAGTTAAGTTGCAGGCAGTCACAAGGCCTTTATCTAATATAATAATAATTATCACATTTATTAAAACCATCTGGAATATTACCTTACGTTTTTCAAGCACTTTACTGTCTATCCACTTTCACAGATAGTATTTCATTTGTACCTCAATGAAACATGAGGAAGGCAGGAAACAGACAGAGAGGTTAGGACCTGCCTGAGTTAGAATTCAGGCTTGGAACTCCTAGGTTAATACTTGTCCTAAAGGGTAAGTAGATTCTAGTAGGTACCAGCAGTGGGCGTCTTCATCCGGACAGACCTGAGAGGTGGTAGCAAAGGTAACTTCAGTGCGGTCTCCCATCTCTCCTGTTCCTCCAAGTGGATGCACTTATCTGCCTGGGCTTTTGGACTCAGGATGTCTGAAGGATGGTTCTCTTTGGTGTATTAATGTTTAGCAAAGAAGCTGTTAAACCAGCGTTCAGTGACGGGGAGTGCTGGCGGGGGCAGGGGTGAGGATCAAATGAGATAATTCCCGGCACTTGCTGAATGAATGCTGGCCATCGTGCCGGGTTGTTGTTTGTAGCTCTCGTACCATGTTGGAAAGTATTAATGAATGTATAGATGATGTAAGAACCATGAGATGAATCTGCCTTTATGTTGATTACACTCTCAAATTAGGTTGCTGTGTCCAGGCTCCTTTTCTGAAATGTCCTTGAAAATGGATTGTTTTTTAGGAATAGTATTTTTTGTTTTTGGAGTTTTTTGGCTTTTGTTTGGGTTGGTCTTGCCTTCTTAGACGGGCAGTAGAGACAGTCGGAGCAGGAGTTCGAAGCCTTACTCCACCACGGACTAACCACACAACATTGTGCGGGTTACACCTTCCTGTCCGTCAGTTTCCCCATCCACAGAATGAGCTTATGAGAATTCACGATACCACCGTCGCACGTGCCACGTAGGCTCGTGTGAGGATTAAATTAGTAAATGTCTGCAGTGATGGGAGTCGCACCCGGCACATGCTGAGTGTTATGTGAGGTCTCGCTATTAATGATGAACCTACTCCATGGCACGCCATGCTGTGGTAGGCGTCCCACATGTAAAGTGGAGGAAGATGGGCACGGATGTTAGCTCAGGGCCAGGCTTCCTCAGCAAAAAAGAGGAGGATTGGCAGTAGTTAGCTCAGAGTTAATCTTCCTCAAAAAAAAAAAAAAAAAATGAACCTACTCCAGCAGCATCACACAGTGCCCTGGTCCCTTTAGCAGACTCATTTGATGTGACATCCTGGGTCTTCTTGATCTACCACGACCAGGAGGTTGTGAAAGTCAAGGTGTACATAAGGAGGGAGGAGTGGAGAGGATGTTGTTAGGGGAGCGGAGAGAGATGTGGGAAGCAATGGAGCGCGGAGTGGGTGGGGGGGTTCAGGTGAGGGTGCACGCGCCCCGAGGATTACGATGTAAAACCAGCAGGGACTCAGAACGAAAGTTAACCGCCACCTCCTCCACATTTAAAAGTGGAATACTGCTTCCGAGTGACCAGGTTGAAAATGCCACTTGATAACTGACTTTTCTTATCCTGACGTCCAAAGGATCAAGTGCAGTAAGAATATGCCCCCCGAAGAAAGTCCTAAAACAAACGGGAAGGGTGGGATCCGTTCCATTTGAGGAGTGAGAGCTGACGTTGACCTGGGTGAGCAAAGGTGACATTTGTCCAGTCCTGACGCCTCCTTGGAAAGAAGGGAGTACATTCTGACACGAACCGGACGCTGGGCCCAATTCTCAAAGCAAATCTCACCCCCTTAGTGCCACCTTCATGTTAAAGGCACCCGGGCAGGAAGCCAGGATGGAGGGGCCTGTGGGGCCCGCTGTCAGGCCTGAGCTGTTCTCGGGTCTGAGGGCAAGTAGAGATGGTGAGATGGACAGGAGAATGACCACTTCATCTCCTTCCGGTGTAGTTTTCTTCATACTAATACTCCCTGTCAGGTCTGTGCCTGTGCCTGTCATGTGCTAGCATCCGCCCTTTTCCCCTTTCCAAGGCGTTTGGGCTATTGGAATACTTCTCTCTCTCCAGCCGCCGAAACCTCAGCATCCCCGAGGGAATCTGGAAATCACTCACTCCTTGACGTGCATTTTAACGAGCATGTCTCAAGGTGTGACCCACAGACTCCTGGGCCCTTTAACTCCTCAATAACTTGAGTTGTTCACTTAAAGTGCATATTCCTGGACCCCACCTCAGACCGACAGAGTCAGAACCCCGGATGGGAGGCCTGGGAAACTGCATTTCACCTGCCCCCATCTGCTTTTTCCATGCTGAAGTTTGAGAAACACAGAGTCTTTTCTGGAATGCTCATTTCTTAAACCCTTTGGGTCTCCCCAGGGGATTGTCTTGGCCACCAGCGGGTGATCCGTGACTATTAACAAAGCAGCAAGGATTAGGGAGACGGTGGACTCGGGGTTTCCGCCGTGCTGGACGCTCCGCCTGGGGACGGGCTTCGGGCCACAGTCTGTGCAGAGGCTGCTGTCCCGGGGGTTGAACTAGACTTGGTTGGACATAACGAGCACCGTTCTGACTTCAGTTGTCTTGTTGGTTTGTGTGGAGCGGCTGACGGAGGAAGAGAACCGAGGGAGATGGAAGGGGCTAAACCTCTGCAAGTGCCCTCTGGGGCCACCGCCGATTACCGCAGTAAAGGTCCCTACTGCTCTCTTTCACTCCTAAGTGTTTTCTGGAAAGGCAGACAAAGGGTGGTGGAGCAGCCTGTGCCTGCAGGAACAGAAAGTCCGTGTGTTAGGCGGCCGGGCAAAAGTTCCAAGCCGCTGCCCTCCAAGCGGGAGGGGACGCTTCAGAGGCGGGCTCCTTCCCAGTCACCCCACGGCCAGCCACATGGGTGGGCACCCACATGGGTGGGTAGCCTGTCTGACGCCGGGTGGCACTGGCTCACAGACTTCCTGCTCCTGTCCCCAGCAGACAGGGCTGACTCAGTCGGCACGTGGGGTCAGTTTCCGAGCTCCAACTGGGCAGATGTCCCCACTGCTCTGACTGTCCTTGGCCTGAGCCAACGTTGCTGGGAAGAACAGAAAGTTCAGGGATGGCGGAAAATGTTTGGCAGATGCTCTGAGCCCAGAGCCAGGGCACCTGCTCCGCCCGAGGGCAGAGACAGCTGGTAAGTGAAGCACAGGCATCCCAGAGGGGTAGGGCAGGCAATACTCAGGGGTCAGAAACCTCTTGTCAGGTGACTCCCCTGCATAAAGTCACCTGTCAGGAGAAGCACTTGCTCTCAAACCTCAGTGCGTGCTAGCTATTGTTAAAAATCAATATTGCTAAAAACGCAGCTCCCGAGAGACCACCCCAGAGATTCTGATTCAGGAGGCACACGTGTATTTAACAAGCTCCTGCAGATTTGAGGCAGGGGCTCCCGGGATCGCTCTCTGAGAGAACGGGCTTTTCCCCCAACCTCTTGGCCTTCTTCAGGGAGGGCCCCTGCATGCAGATTTCAGGGCTGGCCAGCAGGAAATGAGTGGGAGGGCAGAGAAGTTGGGACCAGCATCTCCTTCTGAAGCGTCTGGTGATGGCTTGACTGGTCCCTCATCTGCCAGTCCCTGAGCTTACCTTGCTTTTAAGTCAAATGATCCAGCTATGTTATTCTGGAAAATGAACAGGATCTAATGCATGCTACTTGGGAAACACACATGCTTTGATGTTAGGGGTTAAATTTTTTAATTTAAAAATAAAAAGTTTTTTATTCCTACTCACATGAAAATAGAAATACAACAATTGAATGCAAAATAATGTCTGTTATGGGGCCAGCCCGGTGGCATAGTGGTTAAGTTCACGTGCTCTGCTTCGATGGCCTGGAGTTTGCAGGGTCAGATCCCAGGTGTGGACCTACGCACTGCTCATCAGCTATGTTGTGACAGCATCCCACATACAAAATAGAGGAAGATTGGTAACAGATCTTAGTTCAGGGCCAATCTTCCTCACCAAAAATAAGTAAATAAATAAACAATGTCTGTTATGCTGAAAATTCCCTGAACTGGCTGTTGTCCAATAATTACTTACCAGAGGAGCTGCAAAGAGGAGCCTCTGTTATTTTCCTGTTGGCTGAAAACCTGCCCTGGGAAATTCCAGTCATTCCCGTCACCTGCCCTGGATGACGTCACTCAGTCTAAGTGAAGTCAGGTGCGCAGTTCCAGATTGATTCAAGTGATGGCCTTAACTCGATGTTTACGTTACAGTATGACACTGAATCAAAGCATGTTATCTGTTCCACAGCGACGGGGAGAAGAAAATACTTCGCTTCAAAATTAGTCACCAGGAACACAAAAATAGCTCATGGAAAATGATGTATATTCCTCTAAAGCTGTTGCTAGATGTCGTGCATCTGCTCATTTGACAAAGGTTTACTGAGTGTGGAGTACATGCTACGCACTGTGCTGGGCCCCGGCACAGGTGTGAGCGAGACAGACACCGCCGCTGTCCTCCAGGATCAGCAGAAATCACCTCACATCTTTCTTTCTGTGCATCACTTTGAGAGACAAGCACAAATGTATTCACAGCTGAACGTCACATCTCTACGTTGCATTTCTCCTTCTCTAGAAGTTTCCTTCTGTGCTTGGTAACCTGTAAAAGTGGTTGGAAGACAGTAAAATCTGAGGAAGGGCACCATGTGGTTTTCTTAAAGGCCTGGAATCTTGACGTGAGGTCCTTCAGCCGCTCCTGTGACAAGAGAGCCTGCGGAGACCTCATCAGAACTTTTAGTGACACTTACGGTTAACAGACATTGACACAATGAAGCTAGCTCCCAACCGTCAAGTGTCTG